CTGTGTAACTGCCTCGAGGGTGCTTGACCATTTCAACACAACGTGGTGCGATCATCCCCCTTGCGCGGAGTGAGGGTTCTCCACCCCGCACAACATGATCTACTCGACCACCATTATGGTTACCGCCAAAAAAAAAACCGGAGGTAAAAAAAAAAACGGTAACCTGGTTGCCGAGTTCACGAAGTGAATTGGCTTGTTTTACAACGTCTTTGCCAAGAGACGAAAACCCAATCCCGATGGCAAAACCGGGTGGGTTGGCTTGTTTTACAACGTCGTTGCCAAGCGACGAAAACCCAACCCCGATGGTAACCACCGGGGGGGACGTGACGAAAACCCAACCCCGATGGTAAACACCGGACGGGGGGTGTCCGGGGGAGGGGGGGGATCCATTCCCTGTGGTTCCTCTTGTTGCGTATGCATTGTGTCTCTTCCGTGCTGCCTGCAACGCCGTTCTTTCCGTCAAAGAAGCAAAAAAAAATGTGAGAAAACCGCGGTACATGTCGTTGATCTAATAGTTCGATCTTCGCTTCCTTCCCTGCGACGATTTAGACCCCACGACGATGGCAAACATCAACGGAAAAAACAGTCGCCGTCCATGCAAGTACCTACGCGAGAGGACAAAAGCGGCAGCCTACGGTGAAGCAGTAGACATCAAACCTCGCTGCTCCAGCTCCACCACAACACGCTTCACACCTCGGCAATGGTCCCGCCGTACTTGGGAATGCCGAACAACGCCTCCTCGTGCGGGTAGCCCTCGTCGCGGTACAGCGCACTCGGGATGGTGAACTGCAGCCGAGAACCGGAGCTCTGCTTGTCGTTATCGTCGTCGTCGTCGTCGTCGTCGTCGTCGTCGTCGTTGTTATTGTCGCCCAGGGATTCGCCGCCGCCGCCGCCGCCGAGGCCGCGCGTGCCGTTAATAACGCCGGCACGAATGTGAGGGGGTGCAGCAGTACTCATGTAAACGCATGCCGTATGATAGCAGTTAGGCCAAGGGGGTAAGCATTACTCTAACGCATGGCCGAGGTATGCGGCGTGCTGCGGTGTGATACTGCTTCTGCTGCTGCTGCTGCTGCTGCTGCTGCTGCTGCATCACAAATCCAGGATGTGATCGGGGATACAATACAATACAACAACTGACCGTGGAGGTGGTGGCTTTCACAAATCAATTTCGTACGCGCATCAACAACCGCTTGCGCGGGGCAGCCTTCGATCTCACGCCACAAGGACATATGCACACCATGCTAGAGTACACGTTCAAGATCTCAAAATAACTACCGGTTTGTAGAAACACGTGCTCAAGAGCCAGGGCAGAGCCAACAAGACGGGCGTTGGAGTTCCCACTTCCCCCAAGCTTTTACAGTTATGTAGCGCTCGCACTCAATAACTTGACAGTCAAGAAAAAAATAACACCATTCTCAACATGATCTTGAAACGCACGAACATGAGCACCAGTTGTGAGCCCGGCTAAGAACGACATCGACTATATGTAGTAAAATCAACACCAATAAGTGGCCATGTTGAAGCCTACAAAACATAGCCCTGGGAAGAATCCCAGCCTCCGCCAAAACTAGAGGTTCTCAAGCGCGGGGGCTGCGCCAACTGCATTCGCCATCAAGTTCGTACTGCTGCAACGATTGCTTGAAGGTTCTTATATACGCATATCCTGCACAAAAGCATGCCTCTCTTCACCGAAGGGTCTAGACTCGCGGCCCTAGCACAAGACGCAGCAGTCATAGATCTTTCCGCGGTGCATGCGTGTCGTGTTGCACATGCGACAAGGGTTCATCCGCCCCTCCTATAACCATCGTACATGATGCATACACAGATCAGGTCATCTGCATGCACTGTCGGCTTACGGAACACTTTTAAGTCACCTATTCTGTCGTTGACAACATCAGCACGACACGACCGGCTCGCGATTGGATTCGACAAAATCTTACGACTATTAGAAGTAATACTTAGTAAATAGCATGGCATACATAACGCATACGCATAGCATGACCCTAGCCAATGCTTGGCGACGGGCGACGACGCATACCGGTGAGTGTACAATCTACTACGTACGCCTACTTTGTTAGATATTTCTCTGCAGGGCAACAAAGAACACGGGCGCTGCTTGGCTGCTGCTGGCACACACAGCAGGCTGCGAAGACGACAGCAGCGTGGAGGGCTGCAGACCAACCACAGCGGCAGCAGCAGCAGCAGCAGCAGGATCAGCGACGGCAGCTGTAGAAGACTGCTATTGCGAGTGGAGAGGCTGCCATCGAAACCGCTGCACCGAGGCATAACGCAAAGAGCAAGCCGCACACTGGAATGCGAGAGTGTCTCTCAGGAGAGGGATGCTTGTAATGATAGGTAGAGGGGGAAGACACACTTGTGGGAAAGGTGGCCCGTGATCCGATCCGGTCATCGACTTCTAAATCTCGCCGCAGCGTACATCAAAACGCCAGGCAATGAATAGAAAAGAGCGAACTGCGGTCTTTGTGAGGAGGCTGAATCCATCCGCAGTAGCAGCGCTTCCAAGGAGGTCGTGCTGAAGGTATTCAGACTTTTCTCCCCCCCGGCTGATGATCAAGGCAAGCGGCATTTCGTCTTCCTGGAACAACACAGACAATGCAGACAAGCCAGCTGCACGTACGGAGACACAAGACGGAGCAACCTTGCGGACGATGTACCTTGAACGATTCAAACAATCCGCGGGTACCAAACACATCAACACCGAGACCCATCGCAAACGAACACCCCGGGAGCCGTAGACTACTCCCTTCGCCTCCAATACGCACCTCGGCGGCTGCTTCTCTCCATCCTATCGCTGAGAACAGCAGGGGTCCGGCGGTAGCGGCGGCAGCGACCTTCATCTCGCGGCAGCAGGCCAAGAATCCGTCTCCCCGGCGTATTAACGACCCTCCAGCCTGACCGAGCCGCCCAACTCTCGAATGGCGCACACTATAACACTCCTCTACGTTTCCAGGGGAGAGAAGTTGTTCTTGCGGCGGCGAGCGAGAGAGCGCGGCGCACCTTGAGTTTCCGAGCTGCCCAAGCACAACATCGGGAGTGCGAACTCTTTGGGAGTTCCACGGTTGGTATTTACATATTCCGAGAGGGGACTGCAAGGCAGATTCCTCTGCGCCGCCTCCGGCTTCTGGGGCAAAGTTTTGTGTGTCTCGCTTCCCAAGCGATTTTTGAACTGATGCGAAGTAGATGCGAGGTAGAATGCAGGCATTTGATTGGCTGAATGCGAGGTAGATCTGTCCCGCTACGTTTTTTTTTTGCCGCCCGCTCAACAAACTCGAGACGCCGCTCACACGGTTTTCTTCGCAGAGCACACAGGCCGACAAGCACAGATAGACGCAGAAAAAAAAAACAGAAAAAACAGAAAAAACAGAAAAAACAACATACAAAAGCGATTTGATGATAGGCTTTGCAGTGCTGCACGCCTGATAGAAATAAAATATGCGGCTCAACACAAAAAGTAGCAGTTGGCTAGCCCACCGGCGATCAGACGTCCGCACTGCCACCTTTAACGACGTACAGCAGCAAAATAGACCAGCAGTTATTCAGGAAAGCTGGTTTCACGGAATTTCGTTAAAAATAGCGCGAGAACTGCTCGCGCAGGCTCCGAGACTCTGCCGAAAAAATGTGATCCATGCCCCTGCTGCGGCCGAACCTCCTGTGGTGTGCACGCGCGGCAAGCTCAACACGAGATCGCGCCCTATGCCTAACCGATCGACACGAAACTTTACACAATTACGAACAATGACACGAGGAGTACGCATCTCGAGTACTGTGCCCAGAAGAAGTGCTTCCGAGAGAGAGGTACTTATCGCTTGGAAAAAGAGGTATTGCGCGGATCAAGCGTGCTTATCTTTGGACGCGCTACTCGTGGTATGAGACACAGGATGGGCTTGCTGTGAGGCTTGCGGTTCTACTGCAATTTGAACTTTGGTGCAACACGCAGTACAGGTGAAGTAATTGCAAATGGCGTGCGTCCATATTTGAACTGAAAACGGTTACTTTATCTCCTAGACTACAGTATTTTTTTTTTGTTTGTTTCTCTCCCATCATTGGACTCTGCCGTCTGCCCCTCTGGCCCCTATCCTCCACTTCTACTGGCTAGACGACCCAACCGGGGTCACATAGGAGGGGGGGGTTGGACCCCCCTCCTGCGGTTCATGCCTGAGGTATTTTTATCGCGAGAAGGGTACAGCATTCCCTGCCCTCGCGACTTACGAAGTCGATTATGGTTTACTAACTAACGAGCTTTGCAGCGGGTCGCTTTCATCCTTGACCAGGATTTATTTAGTGAGAAAAACTCTCCCTGCCGGGACTCGAACCCATGACCTGGCCCTTAGCAGGCTGCGAGGCTACCCACTAGACCACCGGGGCGACCGTGTCCTGTAGTGTTGCGCCGCAATACACACAAACACACATCGAAAGACAAAGTCACGTAAGAAAAATACGGCGCACACGCACGCAGCAGCAGCTGCGGCCGTCAGGATGCCCCGTTGGGGCCCGCACGGGCATGTATCCCTTTTGTACTCCGGTGAAATCCGACTGGTTAATGGAGTTGTGTCGTCGTGCGTCTTTCGAAAACAAGTAAAGAACGAAACAGACCGAAACACAACATATTCGAAGTACCGCTACGTGAGTTCGCGTGTTTCCATTCAGACTCCCCCCCCCCCCCCCGCCCGCACGAACAAGAGATTTGCTAACAACTTTAATGAACGTGAGATAATTCGTCAGGTGGACCTACTAACGCAGAGAATATACACTATAAAAAAATGAGGGTGAAGCTCCAAAAACAACATCGTTTGCCGTGTGTGTATCATGTGCACACCATGATGATACCGTAGGCCCAACGCAAGAACTTTAAACTTGACGAGTAAAGGAATCCGACACTATATATCCACAGCACATGTCACCTTGAGAAAATACAAGCACTTGAATCGCTACATTCCCGGACGCGGGGGAACAATAAGCGCAGGGAGACATAATCAATACTCCCGAAACCCCGCCGTGCCACTGCCTAAACCCTGCGCCAACGCCATTGTTGCCGCAGCCGATATCCGCTTCACCCGGAAACATGCTCGAAACCCAAGCTGGGGGTCGAAGCCAGTAAGTCCTGACCAACGCCGAACGGGGGAGCCGCCATTGGACGAAATCATCTCGCGGAAGTTTGTTACCTGAAACACGATACGCAGACCGCATCATGTGGGCTCGGTATGGCACCGGCGCGATACACCAACATGATCACTAGGCGACGAAAAAAATCTAGGCGACATCAACACTCGCACAAGTCTACACAAGAAGAAAAATGAACAGCGATAGGATGGCCAAACACACCTGATGAAACTTGGTCAGAACCATGCTTCGCCCTCAGAGTTTGCATCATCCTGAGCATTGANCAAGAAGAAAAATGAACAGCGATAGGATGGCCAAACACACCTGATGAAACTCGGTCAGAACCATGCTTCGCCCTCAGAGTTTGCATCGTCCTGAGCATTGACCCCACCGACACCGCCCCACCCAGGGTCGGACTCATCAGAGTCTAAGTCGCTGTCAGCCGACTCTTCCGCTTCCAGCTCCAGAAAATCGTCCGAGTCACTGTCCGAACGGCCGGTGTCGTCATCGTCTGAACCGGGATCGTCCGGGTCTTCCTCTTCCTCGTCCGTTCTAGCGTTCCGGGACGCCAGAAGAGCCGTCATGGCGCTGGCAACGACTGCGGAGTGTGCAGCACCGGCAGGACCGGAGTACGTGGCCTGGCCGGTCGGTGCACCGGGTACAGGCTTGCGAGCCAAATGGCAACGGCCCCTGCAGCCGCAAGCGAGGGAGCACTTGCGCCCTTTGCACCCGCACCCCCTACAGTTATGCTTTAAGGCCTTCACCGGGTCGCAACCGCACGTCATCGTGACCATCTTCCCATCGGGACCGATGTAAGAATGCTCCGACATCCACATAACGCAATTCTCTCCTGTGAGTGCTGACGCGTTGCTTCCCTTCGCCTTGGGGTTGATAATCCAACCCTTTCCGTTGAAGTCTCGTTCTGGCATATGGTCTTTGAATCCATCTTGCCAGTACCCGTCGACAGACTTCATCCTCAGGCATTGCTCGCGCATCGACCTATAAGTCGGGCAGGTGTCTGTCGTCCTCTTCTTGCCAAGCTTGA